GAGGGGTGGCCGCGGGGCCCGGCCGGGCTGGGGCGGGGGGCCGCAGCCATGATCCGGGCCTTCTCGTTCCCGGTGAGCCCCGAGCGGGGCCGGCTGCGGGGCTGGCTGGAGGGCAGCCTGGCCGGGCTCTGCGAGTTGCACTGGCTCCGGGAGAGGCAGGAGTACCGCGTGCAGCAGGCGCTGCGGCTGGCCCAGCCCGGAGTGGGGGGCGCCGAGGCCGAGGACGAGGAGGACGCCGACGAGGACGAAGATGCGGCGGCGGCGCGGCGGGCTGCAGCGGCCCTGGAGGAGCAGCTGGTGAGGGGTCGCCTGTCCGTCCATCCCTCCGCCCCCGTCTGTGTCTGTCTGTCTGTCTCGGTTGGATGCTCAGACACCCGTCCCAGTGGGGGAGGGAAGAGGGGGAAAGGACAGGGGGTGGGGCTGGAGACCCCGGAGTCTGGGCAGCGGGAGGGATCTGGCCTCCCCGCCCCCAAACTGGGAAAGGGGACCGCATCGCCTTTGCTGCAGCCTCGTGAGATGCACAGGCCCCATCCCCTACAACCCTTCCCCAAAGAAAATCCTTCTGGGCGCCAAGTATGTGTTAAGCCCGGCGCCGAGTATTTGGCAGGCGTTGTCTTGCATCTTGGGAGACAAGGGGTGATAGTCCCCGTTTCACAGAGAAAGAAACTGAGGCTTAGAGAAGGCAAGCGACTCACCCAAGGTCACACAGCCAAGATCTAAGCATGCCCCCCTCCGGGCCCCCTGCTACCAGGGTTCCATCTTCCTCAAGTCCTGGTGTGCTTGGAGATCTCTGGAGGGGGCGGGGTGGGGGGAGGGGATCTTAGGGCCTTTTGAGGGAGGGATCACCGTTGAGAGGAAGCTCACAGTCTCTAAGGATCTCACAGGGCTTTTGACCCTCTGGTGACACGATCTCTTCTTTCCTACCTGGTCCCAGCCAAGAGGAGGCAGGTAGAGGGAGCACGGGATCTGACTACTGGACTCCCTGGGTGCTCGAATGGTGGAAGACGAGGCAGAGGTCTCCGGAATGACTTAAGGAGCACCATCCCTCTCTCCCTCTCTCTGTCATTCCTTGATTCTCCCGACCTCCTCCTGGGTTTCTCGCACCCTCGCTCCCTACCACCACAGCTCTGTGACTTTCTGTGTGCTTCTCTTTCTTAACCCTGTCTCTCTATCTCTGTCTCTCTATCTCTGTCTCTCTGGTCTTCCCTTCTTGTATTTCTGCACCCCTCTCTCTTCCGACGTCCCACGTCCCTGTCTCCATCTCTCTCTTCCCCTCCCCCCAGTCCGCCAGGCCCCAGACCCTGACTCCCGCTTGCAGATCCCATCCCCAAGCCTGTGTGTGGTCAGAGCTTCCCGTTTGGGGAAACCTGAGCCGAGGTGGCGGGGGAGGGGGCTCTCCCTGCCGCTGACCCCGACTGCCCCCTCCCCAGATGCGGAGTGGGGAGGGGGACTGAAGCCAGACTCCGGGGCTGCACGCCCAGCCCCTCCCCCGGCCGGGAGTGGGACCCTGCACATTCTTCTCTGGAAACAGAAACAGCTGTGGGAGGCCCCACCCCCTCCCAAAGTTAGAGACGCATTGTGGGGGCCTCCACCAGCTCCCCCCCCCCGACCCCCAAGCTGGTTGGGCTTGGGGACGCGCCTCCCACCTCTAGGAGGAGAGGGAGACGGCATGGGGATGGGCATGCTGTGTCCTTCCTCCCTGTCCCTCAGTCTCTCCCTCTCTCTGCCTCAGTCTCCCCTTCTCTTTACCCCTCAGCTTCCCAATTTCTGCCCTCAGTTTCCCCCTTCTCTGCCCCTCTGTCTCCCCGCCCATTCCTCAGTTCCCCTTCCCCAGGAGGTGGTAGTGGAGAGGCGTCTTCCCCCCAACAGTCTCCAGGCAAACTCCGTCCCAGCGTCAGGGAGGGGGCGGTGGCAGGCAGCGGGAGGGAGACAGCGGCACGGAGGGAGGAGCGCAAAAGCGCTAAATATAAACTCCTCTGGTGCTGGGGGTTCCTGGGTCCTTCTGAAGAGGGGGTAGGGGCCTCCTCTGATCTCTGAGCCTCTTATGATGCTTACCCCTCCCGCCTCCCACCCAGGAATACACTACTCCCTTTGAAGCAAGAAAGACGGAAGCCAGACTTGATTAGTTTCTAACAGAAATGATGGGGATGCGGGTAAAGACCAGGGGTATGCCAGAGAAGAGAGGCGAGAATCCTGGATGGGGTGGGGGCCCTGTTCTCTCCCACCAAGGAAAAAGTTTCCCTTTCAGCAAGAAGGACTTAAGTTAGACTTGCAGAAGGACTTCCTAACAGAGATAAAGGGAATTGGACACAGACTAGGGGCATGCGAGGGGAGGAACAAAGGTCTGGGAAAGTTGGGGCAAAGGGGTCTCGAGGGGTCCTGTCCACACTCATGTGAAACCTGTCTGAACTGGACGGCCTCAGGCTCACTGGCAGAAGCGCTTGCAAAAAAACAGATGAGGGGCATGGCACTGTGCGCGGGCAGGGAGCCAGATTTAGGCCAAGGGCCTTCTGGTCTTTTAAAGATTCATCCCTTTGCAGCTGGAAGGAATGAGGTCAGACTTACAAATAGCGGAGGGTGTAGACTGAGAGGGTGTGGGGGGTCCAGGCTCGGGGGAGGAGGCCTCTCCTTTCTGGCCCCCTGACTCCTGCCTTCCCTGCAGTGGAAGAATTGAAATTAGACCAGCAGAACTTACCAAAAAAAAAAAAAATCCATCCTTTTATGTTTATTTTTAATTACACAAGTAAAACATGATTTTATATTTTCCTTGTTAGAAATTCACAGCTTTCATGTAATAAGAAAAGCTAGCATTTATTAAGTGCTTAAAAGGAACTGCTGTTCTAACTCATTTAATCCTCACAACCACCCCATAGAGAGGCAGTCAGATGACGCCCGTGTTGGAGATATGGCAACCAAGGCCCAGGGAGGTGAAGCAGCATGCTGAAGGTCACACAGCTGGGAAGTGGCAGAGCTGACTTCGAACCTTGGCAATTTGGCTCCGAGCAATGGCTCCTTAAACACTTCATTTTACTATCCAGTCCCCTCGTCCCTCCCTTGACCCCCCCGCCCCCCGAACAGACCCTTTCCCCTGAGAGCACCACCATTGATTGTCACCTTGCTGTGAGTCCCTCCAGACCTTTGCCCGTGCATCTACTCCCAGAAACAGTTTACACTCCAAGAAACGGAGAGTTTTGCTTTGCTTTTTACAAATTCCAGTTTCTGGGGTGAGGTCCCAGAGACTGTGCCGGGGGTTCTCAAAGTGCAGCCCGCTGGACCAGGAGCATCACACGGGAACTTGTTAGAAATGCACATTCTTGGGCTCCAGGCTGGAATCAGAAGCTCTGAAGGTGGAAATTTAGGTTCTAACACACCCTCCAGGTAATTCCGACTCACGCTTATACATGTTTCTTTTTCCGCTCAACGCTGTAGCTTGGTGTTGGTTGGTTCTATATAGAAATCGCCTCGTTCCACGTTAACAGCTGTATAGTATTCTGCTGTATACATTCATTCCTTCATCAGACATTCCTGAACACCTACTTTGTGCCAGGCACTGTTCTGGGCACGGAGAGGGGGGCGCAGCAGAGAACAAAACAGAAAAATCTCTGCCCCCTTCCCCCACCCCCCGGGGCTGACATTCTAGTGGGAGAGACAATAAACAGATGTCAACCTGATATATCGTTTTAAGCCAAGAGGTCATTACTGCTATGTAGGAAAAAGAAGAAGGGCACAGGGGTGCAGAACGACAGGGGTGCATTTTGGAAAGAGTGCTCAGAGAAGGGATCGGGGAAGTAGAGAGCTGAATCAAGCAAGGGAGTGAGCCAGGATATGCTGGGGAAGCATCCTACCGAGATCGGAGCACGCGTGGCCAGTGTGGCTAGAGCAGAGTGAGCAAGGGGGCCATCGGTGGGGGACAGGACATGGGGTACCTAGGCCATCTGTGACTTTTTTTTAGCCACCCCTGATGCTGCACAAGTCGGCTGCTTTCCTGAGTTCTGCTCCAAGATGACGCCACCCTGAGCATCTCTGTACACCCCAGGGCAGCAGCCCAAAGCTCAATGATTTGTTGACTTTCCTCCCATAAACAAGCCCAGATGGGGGCTTCTGTTGTGGGGGAGAGGGGGGAGGCCGAGGCCAGGGAGAGCAGCCGCAGGAGTCGGAAGCTGGGGGTGGGGGGTGTCTGCAGAGGAGCCGGCCCGTCTTTCTGCCCTAAATAGGCAGGGCTAGGCGCCTGCCCTCCCAGCCCCTCCTCCCTCCTCCCTCCTCCCCTCCCTCCCGCCCGCCAGACAAGCCGCTTTTGTCTGAGGGTCAACCGTCAGCCAGCCGAGGCTGCCGCCACCTCTGGCCTCTCGAAGACCCATCTGAGACTCTTCCTGGCTCTGGCCCCGTTTTTCCAAAACGGGATCACGTCCTAACGTCTTGGAGACCCCATCTGTGTTGTTTCAGCCCCTACACCCACCCCCAGTCACTGTCGCCCCCCTAAAAGAGTTTCACCTTCATTTATTCATTCCTGATAAGAAGTGGTCTTTTCCTGCAGCAAGAATGATCCACGGTAGACTCAACAGAAATTTCTTATGGGGATGAGGAGCGGTGGGCAGACAGTGGGGGCTTCTGGGTGGAACAAGGGCAAGAGGAAGATGTGGTCCCTGGCACAAAGGAACCTGCTAGGGCTCGTTGCTGCAGTACCACTAAGGCTAGACTCACAGAAGCACTTTCCAGTAAGCTTGGGGGGTTCTTTCTGAGGGGAGGAGCAAAGACTTATATCAGTCATGGTCAGCTTATTTTATCCATGAGGGAAAGAGTCAGTCTGCAGCAGGAAGGACTTAGGAAGACTTGCGAAAGCACTTTCTGCTGGTAGATAAGGGGCAGTGGGGGAAAACGGGAGTGTCTGAGAAGGGAAGGGCAAGGACTAGGAGAAGGCAGACCAATGGCTAAGGAATCTGCCAGGTTCTGGACACCAACTTCTGGCAGTGAACTGCCCTTACAGCAAGAAGACCTGAAGTTAGACTCCAAGAGGGACATTCTAATCGGGGTTAAGGGGTCAGGAGCACAGATGGAGGGAACAGCTGATAGGGAGGAGGGAAGGGATGGGGACTTTCAAAGCTTAGCACATCTAAGAGGGAAAGAGGTGGCTGCAGCATGAAGGACTGGAGTTAGACAGCCAGAAGGACTTGCTAATGAGATGAGGGACAGAGATCTCGAGGGGGATCCTGGGACTCAGGTCCTGCTTTTACCTTTCAAAATCAGAGCCTCGTTGTCCAAATGAAACTGCCCATGAGCTCCTAAAATAGGGGACCAGTCGGTGGAGAACTGGGGGCCTTCTGACCATCCTGCTCTCCCCACGCCCACAGGAGGCCTTGCCCGGGCTCATCTGGGACCTGGGGCAGCAGCTGGGAGACCTGAGCCTGGAGTCTGGGGGCCTGGAACAGGACAGCGGGCGCAGCTCTGGTGAGCACGGGTGGAGGGAGCGGGGTCTGCCTGGGACACCCCAATCTTTCCCACCGTCCCCTATCTCTCAGGCTCCCCCTCCCCCTGGGTCTCCCCACCAGGCCCTCCTGATGGTCTCTCCCCTTCTCCCTGGCATCCAGGCTTCTACGAAGACCCCAGCTCCACAGGAGGTCCTGACTCACCACCCTCAACCTTCTGTGGGGACAGTGGCTTCTCCGGCTCTGGCTCCTATGGACGCCTGGGTCCCTCAGAACCCCGGGGCATCTATGCCAGTGAGAGGCCCAAGTCTCTAGGTAAGGTGGGTGGGGCTGGGGCCCTGAGAGCCAGGGAATAGACAGTATAAGCATGGTTTTGAGCACAAGCTTCTGAGTCAGACCGACCTGGATTCAAATTCTGGCTGTGACATTCCTTTTTCCTGTGATTTTGAGCCTGTCACTTCTTTCTGGGCTTCTGTTTCTCCATCTGTTCATTTCGAGTATTCAGTGAGCCTCTGCCCTATGGCATTGGACTTGGCACATGGCGGCCACTCAGTAAACAGAAACTGCTGTTATTCGTTTACACAAGTAAGTTTCTGAGCACCTACTCTGTGCCACCCTAGCACTATCCTTGGGGTGAGGGATACAGAGACGAAAAAATCCTTGTCCTCATGTAGCCGACATTCTAGTGGGAGAAACAGATAATATACAAGATAAATAAGTAAAATACATAGGGCATTAGATGTTTACACGTACGCTGAAAAGAAAATTAGGGAGGGGGACTAGCGTGTGTCCCTTTGAGTTGGGGGGGGGACTGCAATTTTAGAATATATGGCCAGGGAGGGCCTCACAGAGGCTGTGACGTTTGAGTGGCGCCCTGAAGTAAGTGAGGGAGTGGGCCAAACAGATGTCCTGTGGGAAGAGCAGTCCAGGCAGCTGGACCAGCAAGTGCAAAGGCCCTGAGGCTGGAGCGTGACTGGTGTGGTGTGCATCCAGGAGGTCACGTGGCTGGAGACCTATAAATATAGAGGAGAGGAGTTAGGGATAGACGTCAGAGAAGCAGAGGCAGGACAGACCATGCAGGGTCTTGTAGGCCACAAGGACGATTTTATTATGAACCTGATATGAGGGAAGGGATGAGAGCAGGGTTTTTGATGGGAGGGGAGAATGGGGGCAACCTGCCCCTCCTAGGCCCACTGAGAAAGGGCTTTGAGGGCCTCTCCACTCTCTTCCCTTTTTTTGCTTCCCTCCCCTAGGAGACGCCAGTCCCAGCGCTCCCGAAGCGGTGGGCTCCCGGGCAGCCGTGCCGCGCTCCTTCTCTGCGCCCTACCCAACGGCAGCGGGCTCGGCGGGCCCGGAGGCCTGCTCCTCGGCGGAGCGGCGGGCGCGCGCGGGGCCCTTCCTGACGCCCAGCCCCCTGCACGCCGTGGCGC